AGATTTTCCAATAATAACAGCTGAATATAAAAGGTCTTCTGTATAATCTTCAACTAACCAGAACACCCATTTCCCTGGGCAATTATCATATCCATTTTAATCAATATCAGCATGCCTATAATCTCTCAACAAGGTACCTGTCTTATTGAATTAAAGTTCCTGGTAGGAATTCCTTCCCTGGATCACTTATTAACACTCAACTGAGAAGTAGGACTCCTGGTCAGCTAGCTACCTGCTCCATACCTGGATTTCTGCAAGTGGATGGTAGATGGTAGGCTGGATCCAGCTGCTCTTAGCTTCCCTCAATGCATTCCTCTCTTCAATAACTTCCCATGACCTGTCAAACAGAAGGTTCACCAGCTTGTTGATCATTCGATAAGGCTGAGGCAGGGAATCCAGCTCCTGATCTGGATCCTTGAAGACATAATCCTCTTCGTTGTCATCAGGCCAATCCTTCTCTGTTGGAGACGGCACCTCCAGTGGTCCTTTTCGAGTAAGAGTGGGCAGGTTCATCTTCTGCATCTGACCTCCTCTGGCGGATGATATCACAGAAGGTGGCACTGGGAACTTCTACGAAACTCTGAAAAGCTGATAAGGGAAGCAAGCAAAGGAACTTTGAAAAAAAAGGGAAGCAACAAGAAGACAGCACACCATCCTTCTCTAGCACAACGGTCTATACGACTGTTTATTCCAGACACTGGCACTTTCCTTATTTATCACGGGATTGTTACCACATTCCTAGGATAAGCTCTTCATATTAGTAAAGATATCAGAAGATTCTTCTGGACTAAATCAAGGTAATGTATACTATGATGAAAGGAGAGAAATTTGACATCCTTGTTGCCTTCATCTCCTGGTAGGAAAGTAGCTATCTTCCTGTTCCGAATGGAGTTCATCCTCTCATACAACTTAAGCCTTTTCCTGGTTATCTAACTCTACAAATGGCTGTGTTTAAGCCAGCTGGGCAGTGAGCCGTGACTCTCTTCCCTTTTCCCCCACCCCCAATAAGATACAGTTCAAGCGCTCCCAATTCTTGCTGTCTGATTTGTTCCCTCCTCTCCTTTCCCATTGCTGCCACACAGGAGTTCTGCAGGCAGTGCCCAGGGCCTATGAGATTTTTCAGGAGCCTATAGAAATGAAAAAAAATTGATTGACTAAAAAGCCCCCCACAATATCAAAATAAATATTGACAAAAATATTTACAATTTTTCAGCTCCACTCTCTGTGTGTATATAACGTTCACGTCTACAAGAAGAGAACAGGTAATCTGTACTTCGGAAAATTTAAAATTGTGCAAATAATAAAAAGGCTTTTAAATGTTTCACTGAAAAAATGCATTTAATGTGGAACAAGGGATACATTTTAAGATGCTTACTATGAAGTGGAGTAGGGCCTTGCACTGTAAGAGTGCCTAGGGTACATACAGATCTTATAAAGGCCCTACTGCCATCCCACCATCTTTTCTCACCTGCTGGAGTACATTTGTAACGTTTCCAGTGCATGACTGTGAGGAAAACAGCTGACACTGAAGAAAGAACCACCTGACATAATTCATGGAAACAGTAATCTGAGCTCACACTGGGTCAGGAATAATGCCTGTTTCCACCAGCCAGACTGAAAAACCTAATAATTCATGGCCATTGGGTGGAGTGCTTGGAAGAATTTTGCCTCAGCAGTGGAAAAATTAGCCCTAGAATAAACACTGCTCTGGTATCACCCATCAAATCTTAGATATTAGGTGTTGAAACTGTTTCTAAGTAACTTAACTACACCCTACAACAAAGCTCAAGAATATTTATAGGAATACCAAAATATCCAGCATCCAATGAAGTAAGATTCACAATGTCTGGGATCCAATTAAACGAATTAGCTGGGGGGCTAGCCAGTTAGCTCACTCAGTAGAGCGTAGTGCTCATAACACCAGGGTCAAGGGTTCAGATCCTCATACTGGCCAGCTGCCAAAAGGAAAGAAAAAAAGTTACCAATTTGCCAGCTGGTAAGCTCAGTTGGTTAGAATGTGGTGCTGATAACAAAGGGTTTGGATCCCCATACCAGCCAGCTGAAAAAAAAAAAAAGAAAGAAAGAAGAAAATTAGCTGGCACGCAAGCAAAGAGTCAAGAAAATATAAGCCATAATAAATAGAAAAATCAGTCCATTGAAGCTGGCTCAGAATTGATTAACAGACAAAGGAGTTATAACTTTTTCCACATGTTTAAAAACCAAGTAGACACATGGAAGATATAAAAAAGACCCAAATTAAACTTTTATTATTTATTTATTTTTAAAATTTTTTTTAATAAAGATGATGGGTATGGCCATCTTAACTCCTGACTCTTGGTGTTGGCAGCACCACGCTCTCCCAAGTGAGCGAACCAGCCATTCCTATATAGGGATCTGAACCCATGGCCCTGGTGTTATCAGTACCACACTCTCCCAAGTGAGGGCCAGCCCTCCAAATTAAACTTTTAGAGATGAACACTATAATGTCTGAATAAAAAATATACCAGATTAGATTAACAACAAAATTTCAGATCAAAACAAATTAGATCAGCAGAAGAAAAGGTTAGTGAACTTGAAGACACAGTAATTGAAACAAAATGAAACAAAGAAAAAATTTTTTAAAAATTGAGTGTGGGAGGGCCGGCCCGGTGGCACACTGCTACAGTGCGCTGCTTGGGAGTGCGGCGGTGCTCCCGCCGAGGGTTCGGATCCCACATACAGACCGGCCGTTCACTGGCTGAGCGAGGCGCGGGCGCGACACCGAGGGTTGCGATCCGTTGCTGGTCACGAAAAAAGACAAAAAGGAAAAAAAAAAAATTGAGTGTGGGGCATGGGATAATTTGAAGTGGCTTGATATATGTATGACTGACATCTCCAAAGGAGGAAGGAGACAGAAAAAAATTTATAGAAATAATGAGCAAAAATTTTTTAAATTTTTAAATTTAAATTTTTAGATTTTCAAAAATTCGATAAAAACTATAAACACATTTCCATATAAACACTTATAAATGAACAATCATTACAGCTTTATTTGTAGGAGACCCAAAGTGGGAACAACCTAAATGTTTGTCAATAGTTAAAGAGATAAACTCTTACACATTGTCAATGGGAATACAAAATAGTACAGACACTTTGGAAAAGTTTGGCAGTTTCTTACAAAGTTAAACATACCATATGATACAGCAATCACATTCCCAAATATTTACACAAGAAAAATAATAAAAAACTTACGTTCTGTATGAAAAATCTGTACTTAAATATTTATAGCAGCTTTATTTATAATTGCCCCAAACTAGAGACAACATGAATGTCCCTTAGTGGGTGCACAGATAATAAACTATGATACATCTACATTATAGAATACTTCTCAGCAATAAAAAAATTACAAACTACTGATATGCACAACATGGATGAAACTTAAATGCATTATGCTAAGTAAAATAAATCAGAAAAAGCTACATACTATATGGTTCAGTTTATATAATATTGTGGAAAAGGCAGAATTATAGGTATAAAAAGCCGATTATATAAATCTGTATCTAGAAGCACCCTGTGTTCATCTCTAGCACATAACATATCACTGTTTTGTACTTATCAATTTACTATGTCCCTTATTAACCTATTACCTTGGGCCTAGAGCTTAGCACAGTGGTTAATGTGTGGCCAGTATTCAAATTCTTATTGCTTGCAGTATTGCCCTGCCCTGGACCGTGCACTTAGATAACACTTCTGGCTCTCTTACAAGCACTTTCCTCTGCAAAGAATGAATAATCCGTGGGGATGACTCACCCAGAGCCTAGTTTCCCTTTTCATGTTCAGGGTACTTATACCACTGGAATGTACTGTCCAAATGACACTGGGGCCTGCATGAGCCTTTCCAAGTTTTCTCCTGAGGGCAGACTCAGCTGCTAATGTGAGCACCCCTAAACCTGAAAGGCAGCCGAGGCATGACTGTTTCCAGGGGTACCGGCAAAACTTGGATGTGGTTAGAGTATTCACATAGTATGCAAGGCCCCTCTCAGCAACATAGTTTTGGGAGCTAGAAACCAGAAGAGAAGGGGAAGTGGGAAAAGACTCACAGTCAGCTCTCTCCACACTACCATAAGAATTCTGAAAGTGAACCTGGACTTCTCGATCATGACGAAGGTATATTTGCAATGTAGGAGTACATAACATGTCTTATTTAACAATGTTACTTGATTTATAACTTTTAAATATTTAAACATACAGTACATGGGTCTCCATTTGTACTCTTACCTCAGGCCTGCAAATGTTAGGGGCAGACCTGAACAAGGGAATAAAGATTACAAAAACAGGTGACCTTACTTTATGGTTATAGGGGGTACATTTTATAAAATTACTGCTAGGGTGGGATCCATGTCTTCCAGCCCCACAGAACGAATGTTCAGTGGTGCAATTTAACTGTAATCTACTTTTGTCTCCACTTTGTTCGTGTCGAACTTTTAGGATTTCCTCAGGTAACAATCTTCTTTCAGTGTTCAATAATCCTGATAGAAAATTCTCTCACTTTACCCGACTCTCAAGCTAGGAATACACTCCATGAACTGGCTTATCTCTGCTCTAACCATTTCCTTCACCAGACCTGCAGCTGGTGTAGCTCAAGGGAAACAGAGGCATGGCTCTGGGAAATTATTAGCCCACACCGTCCACAAGCAAAGGATCGGGGGAGCTCTCAGGCTGGAGAGACCATTCAGGATTCCACCTGGGACCCGAGTACCCGGGAGCTAAGTGCAGGCACGAGGCGTCCCGGGAGCGCCTGAGGCTGGGGAGACGGGCCCCCTCAGAGCCTCCACTAGAAGGTTCTACAGGTAAAGGGGAGTCCCAAGAAACACCAGAGGGACCGCGGCACCCAAGGGTAGGAGCCTAAGTTCCGCTCACCTGGCCGGCTTGGCGTCGCCTTAGTGTCGCCTTAGTAACCACCACTTCCGGTTCCGACCGGAAGCCCGCGAAGTCTCTCTTCGAGAGGCGTGCCCGCCCCCACGGGGGCCGGAGAGTCCTAGTCCGAGCAGCCTGGCCTGTTCTCTGATACCGACCCTCCCCGGAGACCCACCGGCGCCCCAGAGGACACAGAGACAACGGTGTCACACGTGGCCTTGGACTGGGCGCCATGGACGCCATGGACGCCTTCACCCGCTTCACCAACCAGACCCAGGGCCGGGACCGACTCTTCAGGTGAGTCGGGTGCCCGCGACCTCCACCCGTTTATCGCACCGCCCCCGTACTCGAGTCCCTCTTCTCCTGCACCCGGAGAAGGAGGAGGTAGTAGACCAGTGGATCGAAGCAGGAAGCACGCCGCCGGCTCCCACGGAGGGGAATACAGGGGGGAAGAGTCTCAGAACTAACCGCACCTCTAAGGTACATGCTGTGCTACTGAAAACATCAAAGAGAGATTGTGGCTTTAATATTAATACAGTACTAGGCCGGCCCGTGGCTCACTCGGGAGAGTGCGGTGCTGATAACAGGGCCACGGGTTCGGATCCCATATAGGGATGGCCGGTTAGCTCACTGGGTGAGCGTGGTGCTGACAACACCAAGTCAAGGGTTAAGATCCACTTACCGGTCATCTTTTTATTTAAAAAATAATAATAATAATAATACAGTACTAGTTCGTGATGTTTCTTTTGGCGATTTGGTTGATTCTTGCTTAATCATAGAAAAATAGTTGGGGTTTTATTTAATAGCCGTTCCTTCTCTTCTGGGTGCACACGTGCTCATACAAACAGACCGAAAAGAATAGTCCCAATAATGAGACTTTGGGAAGCCTCATTATTTTATGCCAGGTATTGTTCTCAGTGTTTTGCAGCTATTAACTTATTTAACCCTCATTACAACCCTATGAAGTGGATATTCTAAATTTCCCCATTTCACGAAGGGTAAACTATAGCAGAAGAAGGTTAATAGGTACTAAGTGGCAGAGCTGAGAAATTCAAATCCACACAGCTACTAAGCCATAATGACTTTCTAATTAATCTAATAGATTGTCAAAATGGTTGCATTGTACACAAACTTTATTAAAATAGAAACCTATAATTCCAGCATACCCAAAATGTACTCTGCAGGGTTTATCAAATAGGTTGTTTAATAAAATAATAATAATCATTTAGGACATACTTATTCAGCAAAATCTGAGATCTCTGGCATTCATTTCCCAACCTCCTTGATCTATATATAATCTCTATGACCAAACTGGCATTTATAAAATAATGTCTGTTTTTGGACGGATTCCTTTTTTTTTTTTTTCTTTTTGGCGGCTAGCCAGTACAGGGATCAAACTTTGGACCTCGATGTTATCAACACCAGGTTCTAACCAACTGAGTTAACCTGCCAGCCTGACTCCTATTATTAGACTAGATTTGAGAAAGAGAGATTCATTAACACGCCCAGCTTGAGCCCTCTAGCCAGGAAGCATACTAAAAAAAGAGAGATTGTTTATGATTCCTGTTTTCTCTTTTTACTTCATTCCCATGAACAAGTTCACCATTTTGGAAAATGTGCCACATTTTTATTGAGAATAATATAATAGCATAATAAATAATAATGAATATGATTTATAGTATATATTTTATAATATATAAAATAATAATAGTTTAAAGGGATTCAAATACAGTTACAGGACAGTAGGAACTAGGCACTTTATTAAATAGCCTGCCAAATGCATTTGGATGTTTGACTTTGTGATTTAAAATTTCTCATGTATTATATTTTATCAGTAAGTCATTGTTATTTGTAGGCATGACAATAATCACCTTATTGAATATATGCTATTTTAAAACAGGATTCTGCCTGTATTATATGTAAAATACTAATTCGTTTTAAAAGAGAAATATGAAAACGTATCTATACTAATTTGTGTACTGGTGTGTATTTTGTCCTTTATAAACAATTAAACAGTGTTCAAACTGTTGACATTTCATTTGGTTCTGATTTGGTTGGTGTCCTGTCACATAAGTAGTAGGTTAACAACATGGTAGAAAAGTTTATTTTAGAAATCTGAAAATCATTTTACATTGGAGAAGATCAAGAGTACGGATCTTTGCTGACTTAACATGAGGGAGATTTTTGTGCAGTTTCCTGCTTTGACTATAGCCATTTCTCTGTGCCAGCAAAGGCCTTTTGGGGGGCTGTTCACTGTGTTATTGTATAATTCTCTTTCATTACCTTTGTGTTGCATTTCATCACTCCTTTTACCCTTTGGCCTTCCTGTGGGATAACTGTTGCAGAATTTTGCCCTTTTAACAGCTACTGCATGAGTTTACCTTTAGTACGATATGTTTCTCTTTTCTTTATTTCATGAATAAACTTTTATTTGGATTGTAAATCATTCTCATTTTTTTTCCATTTCAGAGCCACTCAATACACATGCATGTTGCTTAGATATTTGTTAGAGCCTAAAGCTGGCAAAGAGAAGGTGGTAATGAAGCTCAAGAAACTGGAGTCCAGTGTGAGCACTGGTCGTAAATGTAAGTACCCTGTCTCTTGAGGGACAGTGGCTCCTGGTTTAGAACCCTCAGCCTCAAGCACTAATTCACGAAATACTTTCTAGGACATTAATTTCTAGTCGATCAAGTTTGATGAAATCAACCAGTAAGGCTGTCCTCTTGGAACAACAGGCCCAAAAGGTTGAATGTGTTGCTGCAGACCATTCACAAACACCTTTCTATATTCACATTTGGTGCTATACCATATCTTTGTGCTTAATCATAACCAATGGGACATACAGTGTATTAGTTCACCTTTAGTTCTTAGAAACTCAAAATGTTTTGTGAAGCTCTGACATGAGCTTCTGGTTCCTACAAGCCCTTTTGTTCCATAGAAGAACAGAATAGCTATATCCTGGACCACCTACTTTATTCCCTTCTTTTGAGGATTTGCTAGAGGAGGTGGATGGATACATTTTCTTAGACCATTTGTGGGATGATTTCATGTTAAAGGCAAAAAGCGAAGTCAGTGTTTTGTATTCATTTAATTCACTTTAATAATAAATCATACTGGGAAGTCCCATACTTCTCATAGCAATTGCATGCCTGACTCCTCGTTCTTTGATGAGAACCAGCTGTTGTTACAGTAGGTTAGCAGAGGTGTTAGAATAGAATATAGAGCATCACGTAGTGATCAGTTGTTTTTGAACACCTACTTCATACAGATACAATTCTGAGCCTTATGGGACAAATAAGATCACGTGCTGTAAATAATAATACAACATTCAGTGCCAAATATGTTGGGTGAGGTAGAGGACAAGAAAGTATTTTGGAGGAGGTGGAATTTGAGGTGTGACTAGAGAGAAGGAAGGAGAGTATTCTTGGAGGGCGGTCTCCTCCAGTAAAGGCTCAGAACTGTTATGAAAAAACCATCGTATGGGAGGATCAATGTCAAACTAGGAGACTAGTTTGACAGAGAGAAGAATTAAGTTCTCAAGCAGAGGAATGGCAAGGTGGGGTAAGCTTTTCTGGATGGCTTTCAAGGCCAAGATTAGAGATTAGATTTTTAGATTCTTTAGAATGTTGGAGCTCAAAAGTCCTTTAGAGTCTCTGAAGTCCAGGAGAGGCTTATCTAAGGTCATTCAGACAGTTAGTGCAAGAGTCAGAACTAAAACTCAGAATTCACTTACTGGAACAATCATTACATATACTGTTTTGTGTTATTCTAGATGAAATAATGCCAAACATTTTCTGAGCTTATAAGCTTTCTGAGAATAGCTTCTGAACACGTACAAGGTCTAAGGTATAGTCCTTTAAGGAAAAGTATTTCTTTTGTGTCCTCCAAAATATTTAGGACTATAACCCATTCTTAGTAGGTGCTCAGTAAATACTTGTTGATCGATGCATCCCTGATTAATTGAATTACATGCTCACATAAGAGCATTGATTTCATTCAACCAGGAGCCACACGCGACAGTATTATTAATTATTCTATCCACTAAATCCTACCATCTCTATTTTGTTTTCTTGACAGTAGGTAGCCAAAGGGAGTTTGGACCACAGAAATGGCAGAATGATACTGGTGTTTTTTAAAAGGCAATCTTTTGTCTGGAAAGTATATAAAATGTAAGGCATCAGACTCTCCAACAGAATGTTGCATCTGGAGTTCATGTTATCATAGTACCTTCCTTCTAAAGAAGTGTAGCTGGTAATATTCAAATTACATTCAAATATAATATCCACACTCATGGTGGACCTTGCCTGGAGTATGCTGTCAGTCAGTGTAAAGATGGTCACTGGAATGGAGGAGATAGATTTAAAGAGTCACTGTCTTTTGTGCCTTCCAGAATCATTTTAGGTGTCCTTAGCATACTGTGAAATTCTTTGCTGAGTAGAGGCTGAGCCTCAAGTGACTCAATTATAAAAAACCAGTGCCAGCTCCTCACCCTGATATGGAGATTCTGGCTTCCCATTTCTTACTAATAAATAACTGTTAACTGTTGTGGGTTCTTCTTGCAGGGTTCAGACTAGGCAATGTGGTACATGCTGTACAGGTGACTGAGCAGAGCATTCATGCCACTGACCTGGTACCCCGCTTATGCCTAACATTAGCCAACCTGAACCGTGTGATTTATTTCATCTGTGACACCATCCTCTGGGTGAGGAGTGTAGGCCTCACCTCTGGCATCAACAAAGAGAAATGGCAAATGTGGGCTGCCCGCCACTACTACTATTCTCTCCTGCTGAACCTCGTCAGGGATCTGTATGAAATCTCCCTGCAGATGGAACGGATTGCACACGACAGGGCAAAGAGGGAGAAATCCCAGGATCCTCTTGGGCACAGTGTGGCTGATGAGGAAACAGAATGGCTCCAGTCCTTTCTCCTTCTCTTATTCCAATCTCTGAAGCAGCATCCTCCCTTGCTCCTGGACACAGTGAAGAACTTCTGTGATATCCTGAACCCTTTGGACCAGCTGGGGATCTATAAGTCCAATCCTGGCGTCGTTGGACTTGGAGGTCTTTTGTCTTCTATAGCAGGCATCATCACCATGGTATATCCTCAAATGAAGCTGAAGATCCGCTAGGGTGTTTTTAGGCTGAGGACTAGTACTAGCTTTAAAAGATGGCTTCTTAGTGGAGTGGACATTTGCATTAGTCACAGACCATGCCATACTGTACTCGAGTTCTTGTTCACATGAACATTTAGGGGCCTGTGATGTGAGCAGAGGTGGGGCCAAGAATGGAGAAGCGGGAAGCATGATGATTTATGTATGTTTTTTAGAGTACTAGAGTGACTTCTGAATTTCTGAATATTTTCTCTTCATTTAACAATTATCGAGCATCTTTTATGTACGTAGTAGGAGCTAAGTGAATAAAAATTGAAAGGAAAAAAAATTGGAAAAGACCAATCAAACTAATAAGTGAACACTAATGTACAGTAAGCTTTGGGTTGTATGGATGATTGGTTTGGATGACTTCAGTAGGTCTGATGCATGGCACTCTCAGATCTGGTAGAGGCCCCTTTTTTCTCTGGCAGTCACTCCCCCACCCCCACCCCCAATAGATGTCAGTAGCAGGATGGAGGGGAGCTGGGCTTGTAGCCTCTGAACTTGTTAGCCCTACCATCCCTTCATTCCGTGGCCTTGCTCTGCTGCAAAGTAAAGTCAGAAAAGCATCAGGCTCCTTTGTGGTATAAATTGTGTCTACAGGGAGAGGTCTTTAGGTAGTGCAGTGAGAAAGTGAAAATTAGAAGCAGACAGAAGGGACTTGAAGTAAAAATAGGTGGAGAGTCACATGGATGCCTGTCTGTAGTCTGCGACAGGTAAGGAAAGTGATGCTGAAAAAAAAGGCAACCGAGGCCAGAACCTTATTCCTCTGATTCCCAATCCAGTGTTCTTTCCATGATATTTCACTGCCTTCATGATTGAGTAGAAGTGTGAGAGTCTCCAGAATCCTGTGCCTTTTGCCTCTTACCCTTCCGAATTTTGGAACTTTCATTGGTCAGTGGTTTATATTCTACAAAAATTAAAACTATCTAGACTTAGCTAGATTGTCTTACTTAAAGCCTTATAACAGTTTGGACAATTCTATATTAATTTTCATCTAAATTTATACAGTTAAGAAAAATTCATAAATATTCTGTGAATGTAGGAGGGTCACAATTTTCTATGAAAAATCAGACTTCTTATTGGTAGGGTGGTTGGGGGAGGTGGGAAAGAGCAGTAAGGAGCTAGTGGAGAGAACACTGGCATATTGAGTCAATGATATTTGCTTGTGCTGCTTCCCATCTTGGGTGTCATGCAAGATTTCTCAGTGTGAGGGAGTGAAATGGAGAAATAGGATGCCAGCAGGTAGGAGGCTAGTATCAGTTCTACCAGTGAAGCCATGTCATTTGTCTAATGGAAGTGAGAAAAGAAACATGCATTGAATAAATTAAATTTCACATAAATGTAATTCAGATTCTTAACAAGTAGACTCAGGTTGTTGGTGCTCTGTTTCTAAAGAGACCAATCAAGATATGGGATCTGAGAAAGAACTTTTCGGGAATTTCAAGAGAAATGAAAGCTGCTAGATCAGGGTAAATAAAAAGTTTAGGGCTGGCCAGTTAGCTCAGTTAGAGCAAGGTGTTATAACACCAAGGTCAAGGGTTTGGATCCCTGTATTGGACAGCCACCAAACGTAAATAAATGAAAGTTTATATAACCTTTTACCTTGTCCAGATCCTGTACTGTAATAGATTAATTATATTCAATAAATTTCTAGACAAAATTGACTCATGTATCTGTGAATGTGTTCTGGGAATGGAGAATCCAGCGGATAATCCTTAATCAGAGTCTACACAGTAGGTGGAGTGAGCTCTGGGCTGGAAGATACAGGCTGAGGAAGATGGTGAGGAAAGATTTAGAAGCAGAACCTCTGCGTTGAGAGGGAACTCTAAGTTGATCTCATCTAGACTGCTGCCCTGGAGAGTGCTCTCCAGTAGTCCTGTCACTAGTTGTCTGACCTCTGCCTGAAGAAGTTTGTCTTGAATTTGTGGCGATGCGTTATGGTCCTAATCCATCTTGGTACTTTCATCCTCTGCAAGTTAGGGTGGGTGGTGGGAAGACTGGGAGATGCCCCCTCTTCTAGAAATTGTGTAAACCTTAATGGTGCCCTGGTACCGTCTCCCTGTGCATGTTTCTCTTTTCTAACTAACCCTCCTTTCCCCAGAGGCTCCACATCCATGAAAGATTCTGAAAACCAAAGTTCCTAATAGAGGAACAGGCCCGCACATTCACAACCGAACACTGTAGCCTGAGAACTTATTTAACGACGAATGTTTGATTGTCATGCTTAGCTTTGGGGATCCGCTTGTGAACAAGATGACCAGGGTCCCTGCTCTCACGAGGTGGTAGAGTGTGGGGGGAGCAGGTGGGGATGGGGAAGGGAAGAATACAAGTCACCCTATGCCCCGCAAGCTGCTGCTGGAAAACTGACTCTTCCTCTTCCCTCGGGACTCTCTTAGGCCCTTTCGCCACTTCTCACCTCTCACCCACATTCTGGACTCCCAGCTGAAGCGGCCAAAGGGCCAGCTTTGTCAGTGGAGCTCTCAGGCACAGAGCCCGATACTCCCTCTGGCCCAAAGCCACCACTCCAAAGGCTGAAAACTGCCCTTTGGCCCAGGTTGCTGCCTGAACTTTGAAGTGAGGGCAGAGACTACTTCTTTAGATACTTCCCTTTCTCTCCATCACTGTCTTATATTTTAAAAGGCCAGGTGGGATCAATAAGTATTAAATGTATCACATGCTTATTACTCCTTTTGGAGGCTCCCTGCTGGACCCTCTCCTCCCTTTCCTGACTTCTCATTCCCTCCTTTATCACAGATACAGAATTTATTACCAAGGATATGTTATAAAGTACTGTTTCTCCCCACCTGCCTCTTTCTCCTGCTGCTCACAGCATACAACTTAGAGAGCCAACAGTACATATAGTTCCACCAGCGACAGGGAAAATAAGTGTTGTCTTCCTATTTTCCATTTTAAGGAGGCCCTTCTTAGACAATGTGAAAACTATGGCTTAGGGCCGGCCCGTGGCTCACTCGGGAGAGTGCGGTGCTGATAACACCAAGGCCACGGGTTCGGATCCCATATAGGGATGGCCGGTTCGCTCACTGGGTGAGCGTGGTGCTGACAACACCAAGTCAAGGGTTAAGATCCCCTTACCGGTCATCTTTTTAAAAAAAAAAACAAAAACAAAAACAAAAAACTATGGCTTAGACCACGCTCCATCATCTTGGAAGCCAAGAACTAGAACTTGGGCTTGTTCTTGAGTCCTTGCTAAGCAAGGGATGAGAGGTGATAGTTCTTGGTTGTCTGGGTGCTATTGACTAATAAAATCTTGGTAATAAAGTAAAAAAATAAAAAATATAACAAAAAATTTTAAAAACCCCACAAAATTAGAAAATACAACAAAAGAAAAAAACCTTGGTGAACACTGTCTCTTCTTGAGTCTTAGGAGAATAAAATCCAGTTGGCTCTCCCACTGTTCATTCTGACGGCATCTTGGGCCAGGTAAAGTTCGATAAATTTTCTTGAACTCTAGGAATTAGGCTAGATTGTTAAGGACTCAACCTGCAGCTCTGTCTCTTCATCGAGAGCAGTTTATCTCCGTAATCAAAGACTAGTATATTCAAGTGAGCTCTGTCCCGGGTGGGTTTAAATCTTACTGTTGAACAGTCACCTTTGCTTGTAAATAAGAAAGGATGGAAGGGCCGGTGTGGTGCTGATAACACCAAGGCCACGGGTTCGGATCCCATATAGGATGGCCGGTCAGCTCACTTGGGAGAGCGTGGTGCTGACAACACCAAGTCAAGGGTTAAGATCCCCTTACCAGTCATCTTTTTAAAATAAAAAGGAAAGGATGGAAGAAGTGGGTTGAAAACCCACAGAACCCTCTGTGGAAAAGGAGCCAAAGATTACAGAATTATATAGAACTTTAGAGCTTACGAGTTTCATGACACATCCCAATAGCTTCTCTCTGCAAAGTAGTTTTTTGTTAATTGAAGGCCAGAAATGTTACAGAACTGATGCTTCATGGTTCTGGAATAATAAGTCATTTGAGCCTGGATATCCTTCAGCTCTGTGATCTCCCTCTTTATTGGCTAAATGTCCTCACAGAAGTTAGAATATGTCTAAGGAACCCTGGGTCAAATAACCATGGCAACTGGATGACCCAGCTTTCTCTTCCTGTCTTCTCTAGCTGGGAGGCGTTAGGAGCATTGCCCAAGACTCCCTGGAGTGACTAGAATTGTTTCTGCCTGAGGAGACGCTCTGCAGCCTGGACTCTGTGAGACTGAGGCAGTGGTCAGCTGGAGTGAGTGTGGGAGTCCGGGGTACCCACCTTACCTGGCTTGTTTATGAGCATTGAAGGGGAGAAGTTGAGGGTAAGGGCCTCTTGGGGATTTTACTGGGGATGAAGAGACCTGCAGGGAAACCACTGAGGGAGAGATTGAAGGTGAATGACCATGAATGTAGAGTAGCTATTCTGGAGACACTATATTTTCCAGAATGCAGGCGAAATAGCTGGTTTTAAGAGTGACTGATTTCTCACCTGGCTGTGCATAGAGGGAAGGACTAGTAGATATGCTTGTTTAGAAATAGAGGATTACCCAGAGCTTTTTCATTAAACAAAACCAAACAAAATCTAAACCTGGAACTTGTTCTTTTAGTCTCTTTTGAACCCTCATTTAAGAGTCCCAAGACTTCATCTAAAACCTTTTATCTCTATGGTTACCTGCATTTGTTATTTTTTACCCTGAAACCTTATAAGAAACATCAATCTTGACAGGTAGGTAGTGGAGAAACTCATTGATGTGGGACTCTAAGAGGTACCCTCTTATGTGTGACATTCACCCTCCAACCTAATACCTTCTGCTCAGGGTAATTGGGCTCCCAGACAGCCTGGGTCCAGTTGGTGGCCATGAGAGGTAAGGAACTGACCCTGTGGGGATCTCAAGCCTGGGGGCTTCTGATGAACCTGGGACTCTCTGCTTTACAGCCTGAAGAGCTAGATGGCAGTCAACGGGAGCCCAACCTTGCCGGATGGAGACTTCCCTGTAAGTAACTTGGGCTCATAAGAGACAGGGCATGGACGACTGAGGGAGGAAGAAGGAGCAGGGAGGAGTGGGCGAGGAGCAGGGGAGGATTCAGGGGACTTAGAGCAAGATATGTCTAAATTATAATCCTAATTCATTGACCACCATGTCTTAGTTATTCTTGCCCTCACTACCTTTTACAAGAGGCTTTGGAGGATCTGGGGGGTGGGAAGATGCCTATTAAAAACTGAGCACCTTGGAGAAAAAGAACCAAAATACTGGCTGGGGGTGTAGGGGAGAATGGAGAGGAAGGACGCTACTATGTTCTAAACCCTGAAGCAGAAGCCCATGCCCGGTCCACCGCTCAGCTGCAGGTCTATCCAGTGCAGAGCCACTGCACGCTGCAACTCCAGCGTCATTCATACAGTAAACAGCACCTCCTGAAGTTCGAGGGTGCACAGCCTGTGCTGCTGTGTGTGGGAGTGGGTTGGATGTTCAGTTTGTCCAGAGTTGTATCTCTGACCTGGTTTTCACTGTGACTCGGAGCGATTTTGATGCTTTTAGGTGTGCTTGATGACTCCTGGCAAGGCCTCTCCGATTTGGGCACAGTTCAGATAGTTAATGAAATGTAAAAATTATGAACCTGTACAATACCCATTTTGTCCCAAGTTAGGCTTTAACTAACCTTTGTACTAAGAACACAGAGTGGCATAAAATGGTGAAGTGCATAGTAAAGCCATCCTAACAGATGGTTTACTTCCTGCCAGGATTTCTTTTCATCTTTGGCTTTGTCTAAAACAAACCCTGAAGGCTCTGTCCTTCAGGGGATGAAAAGCTAAAATAAAATATTGTGGCTGCTCTGTCTAGTGTATCTGTGGGTCTCCTGGATAGGTCTTCTAACTCAGCCTCCTACAAACTGAACAGGCTGGGTCCTCTCCTCCAGAGTAGAACCATGCCACTATGTCAAATTCAAAGCCACAAAGAGAGTTCAAGTGTCTGAATCAGACCTGGAGAGTTTCCTCTTTTTCCTTTTTATGTGGAGAATTCTTTTTTTTTTTTTTTTAAGATGACCGGTAAGGGGATCTTAACCCTTGACTTGGTGTTGTCAGCACCACGCTCAGCCAGTGAGCGAACCGGCCATCCCTATATGGGATCCGAACCCGTGGCCTTGGTGTTATCAGCACTGCACTCTACCGAGCGAGCCACGGGCCGGCCCTGTGGAGAATTCTTAACATTAATAAGGATAGACAGAAGACTGTATTAAAGCCCCGTGTATCCTTTATTAGCTCCAACAACCATGAATCTGTGGCCAATCCTGCTTCATCCTCACCCTTGTCGAGTCCTCTGCCTTATTTTATTTTGAAGCAAATCCCAGATATGCCATTTCAGACCTGAGTTGGAGTCCTAGCTCTGCTACTTACTAGCTGTGTGATCTTAGGTAAATCACTTTAAGTCTTTCAATCTCAGTCTTCTCATTGGCAAAGTGGTGGTGATAATGCTGACCTCAGAGGGTTGTTATTACACCTTAGTTGAGGTCATGTCACCAAGGCACCCAGACCAGTGCCTGGAACATAATGATACCTAGTAAATGTTGTTTCCCTCTGCATGACTAGACTCTGTTATTTTACTTAAAGACCAGTGTTTTTTGGGCCGGCCCGGTGGCGCACTGCTACAGTGCGCCGCTTGGGAAGCACGGCGGCACTCCCGCCGAGGGTTCGGATCCCACATTCAGACCGGCGGCTCACTGGCTGAGCGAGGTGCGGTCGCAACACTGAGGGTTGTGATCCCATTGCCGGTCCCGGTCCGGTACGGGCGCAACACTGAGGGTTGCAATCCATTGCCGGTCACAAAAAAAGACAAAAAAAAGGACAAAAAAAAAAAAAAAAAGACCAGTGTTTTTTCACTAGGTGACTTAAAGTTTAATTATGTGACTGCTGCCAAAGTTGTTTGTTAATAAAGCACAGCACCCCAATAATGAGAAATGATGGTTCCACTATACCCTGCATGCTCAGACCACACCTGAAGCATTGTCTTCAAGTTTGAGTGCTATATTTTTGAGAAAGACAATGCCAAATTGTAGCATGTCCAGAGGAGGGGTCACCAGACCCTGGTGTAAGTCATTTGTAAACTAAGTTAGGAACTGGAACTATTTAGCTTGGAGAAGGGATCTCTAAAGGGAGACATTTGACTTTAAATATGTGAAGGGCCAACCCATGAGTTATGAAATAGATTCTCTCAGTGTTGTTCCAGAGGCCAGAGGTGGGACAGTGGGTGGAGGCAGATTTCAGTTCAGCAAAGCTGTCCAACAAGGGGCACAGGCCACTCTGTGAGGGGGAGAGCTCCCATCCAAGGAGACATCCAAATACCAGAGTCTAGCATAGTCTGGAAAGGATTCTAGCTGCAGAGCCCCTGGAAACCTAAGATTCTGTGATTGTGTGTAGTTGGGCAGATCTACACTTACACATTGTGCTAGGTGCTTCCCTGTGATTCATTTATTCAACTAGCATTACTGGGGCACACTCCAGGCTAGGCACTGGGGAAACAGAGATGACAGTCAACAAGAGAAAGAGACAAATACGCACATAATGAATGTAGAGACAGCCCAGGGAAGGTAGCAGCGGCTTCTGATGTGAGGAAGGAGAGTCAGGAAGCTTCACAGAAGTCAAGCCGAGTCTTGAGGGAATTGCATTCCATCGAGCAGAAAGGGAGACGGGAGGAAAGGTGAACATTCTAGGTGCTGGGACCAGCATACACAGGCAGGAGGCAGTACCTCAGAAAGACCAGGAAAGTGTTTAGATGGCACCACCAATTGAAGGTGGACTAAGACTCTTGACAGGTATGTTAACAGTTGCTCTCTATTCGTACGCTTGAGTGGGGAAGGCTGGAATGGGGGGCTGGGATCAGGCTTGGCTCCTGGAGAATGGAGAGATTGCCTCAGGCTGCTCCCCAGAGCCTGGATCGTGGCAGCATGGCAGGATGGCTCTTGTTTTCCCTGGGGGCTCCCTCAGGGCCCCATGACCAGAGCACCCGGAGACCTCTTTGACCTTGGTTCCTCCCAGGTCACTTGGACTCAGGCTAGCCTCGCCATTGGGATCCATGACTCTGGGGCTGCCTTCCCAGGAAGCAGGAGAGGGAAGTGGGATAACTTGAATGCATTCCCTCCATGCCAGGAACAGGAGAATGTGCTACAACGGGTCCTACAGCTGCCGGTGGTGAGTGGTACCTGTGAGTGCTTCCAAAAGACCTACACCAGCACCAAGGAAGCCCACCCGCTGGTGGCCTCTGTGTGCAATGCCTATGAGAAGGGCGTGCAGAGTGCCAGCAGCTTGGCTGCCTGGAGCATGGAGCCAGTGGTCCGCAGGCTGTCCACCCAGTGTGAGTCCTTGCAGCACTCAGTGGCTGCCTGCCTGTTCACTGGTGCTCACTGCCCACCTGCCAGTCTGTCTGATCGTCTGATAACTTGCTTGCCTGTCTGCCTGATTGCCTAACTAGCTGCCTACATCCCCTTACATGATCTTGTCATCTATAAAGTACAAATACAGATATAGATACAGATCTCTTTTCATCCATAGATGCCCCATCCGTAGCTCAGCTGGCATTTTTCTAGGATAACAATGATGGGCCAAAAAACTTGCAGTGGGGAGGGATGGACAGAGCTATGTGGGCGATGGTGAGAGTGGACCCCGTGGCAAACCAGAAGCCACTCTTGCTCCAAATCAAGCAGCAGCAGCAAGAACTAGCAGAGTCTGGCACAAAGACAGAGGTAGCAGGCACTAGGGCTGGCCTGGCAGGGCTGGAGGGCATGGAGGGAGAGGGGAAGCCCTCTGGGCCCATCCGCAGCTGATGGTACTGGCTGGTGACAGGAGGGGGCAGCAGAGAGCTACCAGCCAGGGCCCTAGAGGTGGAAGGCAACTGTCCATGCCCACCTCGCCTGATGGGTCCCATTCAAATAGCTTTGCCCCATCAGAAAATACGGTCTTCAAGTCGGGGCTCTTGACAGGGCTGAGGAAAATCCCAGCAGTGCTGAGAAATCTAGCTCATTCCACTGTCCTAATTACAGAATTGTGGGTATCTGAGGATTCCACACAGCAAACAGGGCAGATGTCAAGAAGACTCGGGTGCTGGGCTAGCCTCCCTTCCTGCAAGTTCCTTAAATGATTTCCCGGGGTCTCATTCTGCCCAGTCAGAAGACAGCCAAGCCAGCTGGACTCTGCTGCTCAAGAACTTTGTGAAGAAGAAGATATCTGGGGAAAGAATATGTAAAAGATTCCCTATAAACCTCCACTAACACTGTAACTGCCGTGACCACGACTGCAGAGCTGATGTGCTCGGCAGCCCCTGGGCAGTATCCCCTTCAAGCATTGGCATTCTCTGGCGTTTGCCCGCTCTCTGGGGGCAATTCCTTTTTCTCTCCTGTGACCTCTTCCTCCTGTTTTCCATTTCAGCACCTAGTGGTTAAAAGGAAGGGCCATGGACAGTCTGGAGCCTGCACTGGCTGTGGCTGGGAGTTGGTCACCTCTAGAACCAAGCAGGCTCAGGCCCGACCCCAACCCCAAGGCCCTGCTGCCACCCACCTGCCACTCACACCTCTTTGTTCTCCTTCCTCATGCTCACCCAGAGCCCCCCGCTGGTGGAGAGGGAGGACAAGGGAGAGAACAGTATTTGTTGGTGATTCACATAGTTTCCACCACTTCCTGCTCACGACCCTGCAAAGTAGGCACCATTAATCTACATCTTACAGACGAGGAAGCTGAGGCTCAGACAGGTGTGACTTGCCTGAAGCCACACGCTGTGCAGATATGGGGGCTGGGCTTTGAGTGCAGGTTTGACTGACTCCAGAGTTCCTGCACAGATGGAAGAAATGGCCCTGGTCTCCAGGAGTTGCAGCCAATCGGGGCTAAAGGTGGTGAGGGGCCTCAGGTTCAAAGATGCTTGTGAGGCAACAGGGCTGGGGATTTGAGGGTCCCGAGGCACCTTTCTTGGCACAGAGGCCACTGCTAAATTCTCGCAGTGGGGGCAGGGTTCACCACAATGTAGCCTTCCCTTCCAGTCACAGCTGCCAACGAGCTGGCCTGCCGAGGCCTGGACCACCTAGAGGAAAAGATCCCAGCCCTCCAGTACCCTCCTGAAAAGGTGAGCCCTGCCCTCTTCTCTAATGCTCACCCATATTCTGTTGTCTACGCCTCTCAGCCAGAGAGGACAGGAGTTGCTGCTATGACTGAGAGTCTCTGTTTCTGTGGCATGTGCCCTCCAAGGCTGGTGGAGGCTGCCTGCCCCTAAGGCCTCACACTGGGCTCTTCCTCTCCCTGTGGAGCCTCATGGAGGTGTGGTTTCTGGGACCGGCAGGCACTAGTCCAGAGGCAAACTCAAACAGGAGCTCAGGGTGAGTCCCATGGCCTCCTGATACCCTGTCCTGGGAGCTGGGGCTTCATGGGCCTGTCCTAGACTACTTGGTGACTACAGTTGCCTAAGATCATGGGTCACAGTCATTGGGATCCCAGGATTGCAGTCACATGTCCTCAAAATTCAATCCTTTATGGACCATGAAACTGAATAAGTCACTTCACCTGGCTACACATTTATTGGGTAGTTGCTGTGGTAAGGGCCCATGTTAGGTGCTTTTGGGGAACAAGCTTCAGTCTCTGACCTCATCCATCTCACTGACAACCATCTACCCATTGCACAGACATTTACTGAGCCCTACCCCATGCTAGGGGCCATGACATGTGCTTTATAGAGCCCTCTCATTTATTCTCTCACCAGCCCCCTGGCATAGGGGTTGTTACCCGCATTGTACAGTCAACAAAACTAGTGGCTTCCCCCTAGCCACACAGCTTTAGGTGGAGACCACATGAGAGTAGGTCAGTTTGGCTCTGAGGCTTGTGTCTTCACTCCCCATTTTCCAGATAAAGGGCAACGTCTTTGTCACAAAGGAGCTCCCAGGCTAATGAAGAGAAAGGCCAACTATTTCAATGCAGAGCTTGTAGGAAGATCAACGATTCTATAAATCAATATAAATGCAGATGGAAGTGTGGCCAGCATTCTGAGGGAGGAACAGAGGAAACAGTGCAGGAATTTGGAAGAAGAGATGCCTTGGTGCATGAGAGTATCAGGACAGGTACACCAAGGAGGAGGCCTTTGGGGCCATCCTTGCAGGACAGGTAGGATCCTCACAGGCAGTGATGGGGTATGAGGAAGCCAGGAGATCTAGGTGGTTGGTACAGGGTTCTTCACATACTGTCGCTGCCTTTAAAGCCCAGCTTAATCCAGGTGCCCCAGTATTCGTAGCAGTCTCCTGGGCCTTTAAATGAGGCCTTCCTGGGAGCTGGGCTCAGGGTCTGAGACCCTGAGAGGGCAGCCTTTGTAAGGCCTGTGAGACCCATGTGCCTGTCCCCCTCCCAAACTTCCCCCAGATCGCCTCTGAGCTGAAGGACACCATCTCCACCCGCCTCCGCAGTGCCAGAAACAGCATCAGCGTGCCCATCTCAAGCACTTCAGACAAGGTCCTGGGGACTGCTCTGGCTGGCTGTGAGCTTGCCTGGGGTGTGGCCAAAGACACCGTGGAATATGCCGCCAACACCCGAGCTGGCCGACTGGCGTCTGGAGGGGCTGATTTGGCGTTGGGCAGCATTGAGAAGGTGGTAGAGCTCCTCCTCCCTCCAGCCAGAGATGAGTCAGGTACCTGCCATTATGGAGACTGTCTGACCCACCCTGGGGAGTGAGTTGGCCACTCACGCTGCCTGGGAATCAGCAGGAGGCAGGAAGTGCTCATCCAGCCACTGCTCTGGAATACGAAAAGTGCAGCGCTATTTTCAGATGGATCCATAGTAATTTCCCCCCCTGTAAAGAGGGAAAGTGCATTGTGTAAATCACCAGTGAGTTTGTGGTGCAACTAGGATGACTGTTTTCTAGCCCTAGACACCACCCAGATTTCTTCTGTCCCTCTCTGATCTGTTTTCCCTTCTTTTCCCCCAAATCCCTGTCCAGCGCCTGTTCCTGGACGCCATCAGGCCCAGAAGCCTCCCAAGGGCAAGCCAACCCTTGTGAGCAGAGTTGGGGCCCTGGCCAACACCCTCTCTCGACAAACCATGCAGACCACAACCTGGGTGCTGAAGGAGGGCCATGCCTTGGCCATGTGGATCCCAGGTGTGGCACCCCTGGTGAGTGTCTGCCCTGACCGCTGACTGACCGGGAGCACTGTGGGCCTCCCGTTCCCTCCCAGCCCTGACCTGACACCCCCTCCTGTGCTGGAAACAATCTCTCTTCCAAACTGGGCTGGTACTTTAGGTCTAAGGATAAGAGGCTGTAAGAGGGGTGAGAGCTAATGAATGCATGGTGATAGAGGCCAGAACTGTGGTCACTCTCAAGGCAATGTGGCCTGGGTGGTGGCACAGGGTGTTGAAAATGGTCTATATCTTATTGGCAGTAGTTACACAGGTGTGTACTTGTAAAATTCATAAGTTATCCTCAATAAAAAGTTTTAAGAAAAGTCTGCTGGTCCCAGACCCTGTTCACCACCCCGACCCCTGACCCTGGGAGCAAGGGGCTTTGGCTGCTGGGGCCCCCTGGCCTTCAGCAGGGGCTGTGAAGCCAGGGGTCTGCTGCCATCCTTCCCTCAGAGCAGTCTGGCCCAGTGGGGCACATCAGTGGCCGTACAGGTGGTGTCCCAGCAGTTGGGCAAGGTGCAGGTGCCCTGGCTGCACAGTTTCACTGCCACCCAGGAGAACCATGATGACCAGACGGACACAGAAGAAGAGGAGACGGAGGAGGAGGAAGAATTGGAGACCAAGGAAAACAAGTTCAGTGAGGTGAGGGAGAGAGTGGGAGCCTTGAGGTCCTACAACCTACAGAGGGGGTGAGAAGCAGAGGCACAAAGTGACATAAGAATCTCTGCCCCCAGACCCAACGATGGGTGCAGCACTCCTGCCCCCACCCTCAAGCATCCAGCTAACAAAGGACTTCCATGTCACTCTATCAGCTGATCTTCACTATACCCCATAAAATAGGCAGGGCAGAGATTATGGCCCCATTTTGCAGATGAAGAAACTGAGGTTCAAAGAGGGGAAGTGACCTGCCCAAGGCCACACAGCTCGTGGCAGAGCCATACCCAAAGTTTCTTCAATTTGGTGTCCACATGCTTTTTCCTGGAGTTCTGGGGCTGGTGAGGAGGGGAAGGAGCATGGGGTGCTGACCCTGCTATGGTCCCCAGGTGGCAGCCCTACCAGGCCCACAAGGCCTCCTGGGCAATGTGGCACACACCCTGCAGAAGGCCCTCCAGAGCACCGTCTTGGCCATGACATGGGCACCTACAACTATGCTGAGTACAGCAGGGAGGATGCTGCACCTCATGCCAGCCCGAGCTGTCTCCTCGACCAAGGGAAGAGCCATGTCCATATCAGATGCCCTGAAGGGCGTTACTGACAATGTGGTGGACACAGTGGTGCAGTACGTGCCGGTGAGTCCCAACTCCAGGCTAACCCTCCCTTTCCCAAGGGGGCCTGGACAGGACCGATAAAGTAAATTTGACTGAAGGGGCTGCAGCCCCACTTCTTTTCCCCAGCTCCCTGAAGACCCTCCTCCAATCCTCAGTGCCCCAGAACCCTTTGACATACTGGGGCCTCTCTCCCAGCCCCAAGAATAAAGAGGCCCATGGCCCTGGCCTGAGGCCTCTCTGCCACCTGCCCCCTTCCACCTGCTGGTGGGGGAGTCTCCCTCCATCAGACTGCGGATCCCCAGTGGCTCAGCCCTTCCCCCTCAGCTCCCAGCTGTAGGACTTGGCAGTTTTGCATACTGCTGCCTGATGAAGGTTGGAGGGAGGCTCCCAGGGCACTCTAAGTGGTGGGTCATGAGTTCCAGGGGACAGCAGTTAGCCCCATCCCAACTATCACCAACAGGAAAAGCCCAAGAGATACCAACGCCATCCCTCTGGGAGCCGCTGGGCCCCTTCCCAGAGCAAGTTATAGGTTATGCAGGCCCAAAGAGGGCTGGTCGGGGCAGAGGCTTCCTTAGAACTGGCAAGGGGGCGGATTACTCAGTCACTCACTCCCACCAAGAGGCATGCCAGGGGTCTTGGCAGCCAGAGTTCACCTTGGGCCCAAAACAAGCCTAGGCAGGGGTACCTTGACCATGGCCAGGTTAATGTGTGGGCTGCACTCAGCCTGCAGCTATGGCATGAGGAAGGTTAGGAAAACCACTGACTTCCCATTGAGGGTCCCCCTGAGGGCCGCCCAAGGGGTCCCGAAACTTTGGGAGTTACCGGCTTGCCTTGCTTGAGGGTCTGGGCCGTGGAGACGCTCAGAGTGGGCAGGACCTCAGGGTCTACGCGGCGCCCCCATCCTGCTGTCCTACACCCCAGCCTGCGCCCTCCTGACAGCCGTTCCTGCGGGAATGAAGGCGAGGGCCCCCGAAGGGGCAGTGGGTCGGAGGCTCAGGGACGAGGGACAAGCCGGGGCCCTAACGCTGTTGCCGGGCCCTCAGCTCCCCAGGCTGTCGCTGATGGAGCCCGAGAGTGAATTCCGGGACATCGACAACCCGCCGGCAGAGGCTGAGCGCCGGGGCGCGGAGCGCAGGGGGTCGGGGGCGCCGCCCGCCGGCCCGGAGGCCGCGGCGCGCCCC